TATTGTGGGAAATATGATTCTCAGACTCCCAACCTTTCAGATTCAGGGGAGAGCAGAGCAAGGACCAGCAGTACAGTTGACTGCCAACAGACAATACAACAGGGGGAAAAGAGAAAAGGAAGGGAAGGAAGTCTTCTTGGCTTTTGAGGTTTTTACCTTTCTGAGATATGGGTCCTATTAGTTTTTCTTGACTGTGGGTAGAAGATAACGGATTCTAGAATAAGGGATGAAGATGCTCTGGAAAACAAAGCGTTGGAACATGTAACTTATGGCTCCACATTATAGTATATGGCGCTTCTGGAGGCTGAATTGGTAAATCAGACAAAAAAGAGCATAAGAGCATAGTTTACTTGTTATTGGCTATTCCTTATCCAACCCTGTGATATCAAAGTTGAGATTAGAGCACAAGAAATAAAATGGGTGGTCATAGTTGACACACAACCATGGGAAATATAGTACTACTTAAATTAATCTGTCCTTTAGATTTCCAGATGGTGAGAAGAGAATCTTGAAACAATAATGAGTGACCCATGGTAGGTATAAAATGCAAGTGTGCAAAGTCATTTAAAAGTCAGAACTGAGTGTCCCATGGTCTTCAAAGATGCAGTGGATCAACCCCTTTCTAGAGCTGAAAGATAACAGATGTAAGTTTCAGAGGTTGTGGTTTATTTGGGAGAAAGTAACACTTAAGATTTTTCTTTTGATAGAAATAAGGGCCTGATTTATGCGTCCTTGTGCAGAAGTTGTAACGGAGGGGTTATCTGGATTTTACAATGAGGAAACTGAAGACCACAGCAATGAAAGAGCAGTTAAATCAAGGCTCACACTTAGCTATCTAAATTCCTTTTTAGAGGTTCTTCTCTATTAAGAAAAAGTTTCCTACTAACTGTATATAACTTCAAAGAGCCAGTGTTTACTAATCATAGGTTAGCCCTCTTAGGGATTGAGGATGTTTATCTCTTTGAGCAATTCAGCTTCTGAGAATGTATGCTAAAGAAATGATTCTAAATTACGAAAAGTTTTATTACACAAAGGTGATCAAAACAACATGACTTGAAACACCAGAAAAACTTCTAAACAATGTAAATATCCAAGCA